GTCAAAACTTGAAAATTTAAAAAAATTGGAAAATTCAAAAATCGGATAATTCAAAAATAGAAACATCGAAAAATTCAAAAACAGAGACAATCAAAACATCGAAACATCTGAATCTCGATAATCGAGTTCTCAAAAAATTGAAAAATCGAAAAATAAAAAATTCGGAAAACAGAAAAATTAAAATATACAAGAACTGAAAACTCGAAAAATTCAGAAATCGAAATATATATAAAGCAGTCGAAAATTGAAAAATCTAAAGTTTAAAAAACGAAAAACTGAAAATCCAAAAAATAAAGAATCGAAAAGTTGAAAAATAGGTATATTTAAAAATCCCAAAACTGAAACAAATATCCAAAATTGAGGAATTAAAAAATTAGTCAACCGAAAAATCCAAAAATCGAAGAATTGAAGAACTGAAAAATCGAAATTGCGAATTCGAGAAACGGAAAAAAAAGATATTAATTGAAAAATCGGAAAACTGAAAATTTAGCAACGTCAAAATTTGAAAAAGTGGAAAATAGAAATACTGAAGAACTGGAAAATCAAAAAATCCAGAAATCGAAAAATCTAAAATTTAAAAAACATTGAACAATTGAAATATCGCAAAATTGAAAAATGGAGAAATCCAAACATCAAAGAATCAAAAAAGGAAAATTCGAAAATCTAAAACTTAAAAATCGACAAATCGAAACTCCAGAATTTAAAAAAATTGAAAAATCGGAAAACTGAAAAACCGAAACATCGAGAAATAGAAAAAAATTGAAAAGTTTTAAAAAAGAAAAATGAAAACACCGAAAAGTTGAAAAAAAAATTGAGAAATCGATGTATAAAACTGTCGAAAATTTGTAAAATCTAAAGTTTAACGAAAAATTGAAAATCCATAAAGTAAAAAAGGGGTGGAAACCCAAAAACTGCAAACTGAAAAATTTTAAAATTGGAAAATCGACGAACTGGAATCGATTGGCCTGAAAATTTGAAAAATTGAATAAACGAATAATTGGAAAATCGAAAGAAACAGCAAAAATTAAGGAAATGGAAAAACAAAAAACTGTGATATAAAATCGAGAAAATGAAAAATAAAAAATCAGGAAAATGCAAAATAAAAATCGGGGAGTTGAAAAATTGAGGGAAAAATTAAAAATCGATAATGTGAAAAATGGAAAAATGAGAAATTGTAATATTGAAAAATTGGAAAATTTCGAAGTCCACAATTTGTAAAATTGAAAAATCAAAAATAAAAAAACGAAAAAGTGTGTAATAAAAACTTGAAAAACGTAAAAAGTGAAATCAAACTTGAAAAATTGAAAAAAAACTGAAAATTTGAAAAATTGTAAAATCGAAAGAAACAACAAAAAATAAAGGAAATGAAAAACGAAAAATTGTGATATAAAATCGGAAACAAAATATTGGAAAAAGGAAAAATTAAAAACTGAGAAACTGAAAAATCGAAAAATGAAAAACTGTAATATTGAAAAATTGCAAAATCGAAAAACTGATCCAAACCGAAAAATTGAAGGAACGAAAAATTGAAAATTTTGGAAGTCGAGAAATTGTAAAATTGAAAAATCAAAATTAAAAAACGAAACATTAAAAAATGAAAACTTGAAAAATCTTAAGAATCGAAAAATTGAAAAATCAAAAAAAAAGGAAATATGTATTATGAAATAGAAATATTGAAAATTAACGAAATCGGAAAATCGGAAGACTGAAAAACCAAAAACTGCAAAGTGAAAAATTTTAAAATTGAAAAATGGACGAACTGAAAATTCAAAACCTGAAAATTTGAAAAATTGATCAAATGAGAAATTGTAAAATCGAAAAAAAAACAGAAAATAAAGGAAATGAAAAACGGACAATTGTGATACTATTTGAGAAAATAAAAATTAAAAATTCGCCACATTGAAAAATAAAAATCGGGAACATGAAAAATTGTGGAAACGAAAAATTGAGAAACTGAAAATTCGAAAAATTGAAAAATCGAAAGAAACAAGAAATAAAGGAATTGAAAATATGAAAATTTGTGACATAAAATCGAGAAAATGAAAAATAAAAATCGAGAACTTGAAAAATTGAGGAAACGAAAAATTGAAAAATTGAATAAACGAAAAAGTGAAAATTAAAAAATCAGGAAAATGAAAAATTAAAATCGGAAACAAAAAATTGGAAAAAGGAAAAATTAAAAATTGAGAAACTGAAAAATCGAAAAATGAAAAACTGTAATATTGACAAATTGCCATATTGAAAAACTGATGCAAACCCTTCAATTTTTCGGAAAAAATTGAAAATTTTGGAAGTCGAAAAATTGTAAAATTGAAAAATTAAAATTAAGAAACGAAAAATTACAAAATGAAAACTTCGAAAATCTAAGAATCGAAAAAGTGAAAAATCAAAAAAAAAAGAAATATGTATTATGAAATAGAAATATTGAAAATTAACGAAATTGGAAAATCGGAAGACTGGAAAACCAAAAACTGCAAAGTGAAAAATTTTAAAATTGAAAAATGGACGAACTGAAATTCAAAACATGAAAATTTGAAAAATTGAACAAATGAAAAATTGTAAAATCGAAAAAAAAAACCAGAAAATAAAGGAAATGAAAAAACGGACAATTGTGATATAAATCGAGAAAATAAAAATTAAAAATTCGCCACATTGAAAAATAAAAATCGGGAACATGAAAAATTGTGGAAACGAAAAATTGAGAAACTGAAAATTTGAAAAATTGAAAAATCGAAAGAAACAAGAAATAAAGGAATTGAAAATATGAAAATTTGTGACATAAAATCGAGAAAATGAAAAATAAAAATCGAGAACTTGAAAAATTGAGGAAACGAAAAATTGAAAAATTGAATAAACGAAAAAGTGAAAATTAAAAAATCAGGAAAATGAAAAATTAAAATCGGAAACAAAAAATTGGAAAAAGGAAAAATTAAAAATTGAGAAACTGAAAAATCGAAAAATGAAAAACTGTAATATTGACAAATTGCCAAATTGAAAAACTGATGCAAATCCTTCAATTTTTCGGAAAAAATTGAAAATTTTGGAAGTCGAAAAATCGTAAAATTGAAAAATTAAAATTAAAAAACGAAAAATTACAAAATGAAAACTTCGAAAATCTAAGAATCGAAAAAGTGAAAAATCAAAAAAAAAAGAAATATGTATTATGAAATAGAAATATTGAAAATTAACGAAATTGGAAAATCGGAAGACTGGAAAACCAAAAACTGCAAAGTGAAAAATTTTAAAATTGAAAAATGGACGAACTGAAATTCAAAACCTGAAAATTTGAAAAATTGAACAAATGAAAAATTGTAAAATCGAAAAAAAAAACAGAAAATAAAGGAAATGAAAAAACGGACAATTGTGATATAAATCGAGAAAATAAAAATTAAAAATTCGCCACATTGAAAAATAAAAATCGGGAACATGAAAAATTGTGGAAACGAAAAATTGAGAAACTGAAAATTTGAAAAATTGAAAAATTGAAAAATCGAAAGAAACAAGAAATAAAGGAATTGAAAATATGAAAATTTGTGACATAAAATCGAGAAAATGAAAAATAAAAATCGAGAACTTGAAAAATTGAGGAAACGAAAAATTGAAAAATTGAATAAACGAAAAAGTGAAAATAAAAAAATCAGGAAAATGAAAAATTAAAATCGGAAACAAAAAATTGGAAAAAGGAAAAATTAAAAATTGAGAAACTGAAAAATCGAAAAATGAAAAACTGTAATATTGACAAATTGCCAAATTGAAAAACTGATGCAAACCCTTCAATTTTTCGGAAAATATTGAAAATTTTGGAAGTCGAAAAATTGTAAAATTGAAAAATTAAAATTAAAAAACGAAAAATTACAAAATGAAAACTTCGAAAATCTAAGAATCGAAAAAGTGAAAAATCAAAAAAAAAAAGAAATATGTATTATGAAATAGAAATATTGAAAATTAACGAAATTGGAAAATCGGAAGACTGGAAAACCAAAAACTGCAAAGTGAAAAATTTTAAAATTGAAAAATGGACGAACTGAAATTCAAAACCTGAAAATTTGAAAAATTGAGCAAATGAAAAATTGTAAAATCGAAAAAAAAACAGAACATAAAGGAAATGAAAAAACGGACAATTGTGATATAAATCGAGAAAATAAAAATTAAAAAATCGCCACATTGAAAAATAAAAATCAGGAACATGAAAAATTGTGGAAACGAAAAATTGAGAAACTGAAAATTCGAAAAATTGAACAACCAAAAGAAACAACAGGAAATAAAGGAATTGAAAAAATGAAAATTCGTGACATAAAATCGAGAACTTGAAAAATTTAGGAAACGAAAAATTGAAAATGACAAAAATTAAAAACTGAGAATGTGAAAAATCGAAAAATGAGAAACTGTAATATCGAAAAATTGCAAAATTAAAAAATCAAAAATAAAAAAACGAAAAAGTATATAATGAAAACTTGCAAAATGTCAAAAGTGAAAATCAAACATGAAAATTTGAAGAAACAAAAATTTGAAAAATCAAAAGATTAAAAATTGAAAAATTTTAAACTCGAAAAAGTGATAAATAAAAAAAAGAAATATGTACTGTAAAATCAAAATATTGAAAATTAAAGAAATTGAAAAATTGGAAAACTGGAAATCCAAAAACTGCAAATTGAAAAATTTTAAACGTGGAAAATCATGGAATTTTAAAAATCAAAACCCGAAAATTTGAAAAATTGAATAAATAAATAATTGTAAATCGAAAGAAACAATAAAATAATAAAGGAAATAAAGAAACCAAAAATTGTGATATAAAATCGAGAAACGATTGAAGCAATTTTTTCATCTGGAGAAGAATAAAAATATCTCTTTTGAAAACTTTGACAATTTTTGATACGTCACACATTTTTAAATGTGTATTCGATTTTTGGTGATTTGTACCTTCGCTTTTACATTGTTGTCAAATGGAATTTTATCAAATTATTACAAAAAAAAATCTACCAATATTTGTATATTTTCAGATATGAGGAAGAACGAGTTCCACGATTTCATCGTTCAGATCGCCAGAAATGGGAAATGGATCGCGAACGTTATGATACAGTACTTAGCAGAGAGCATAATGTTGATAAATGGGATGAAGAATGGGCTGATGATAGAAGACATCGACGAAGACGAGAGGGAGAAAGGGAACGATGGTGTTGTCCAGACAGGGATGTAGGTGAACATGGTAAAGACTAATTTAACATTATACGTTTTATTAAAATCAGTTTAAATAGAAATAATTTAGCTATAAATTTTATGTGCTACTTTTAGACAAACCCAGTAATCGATATAATACTGGCCGCTGGCCTCACCCAGATGGACCCTCCGGCATGTGGCGTGATCGTAAACACGATGAACGTTACTACAGTAGGGAGTCGCAAGAATCTCCCTGGGAAGACGAATACTCAAACGAAGCAGAAGAAATTTCCACTTCGCATTACTTAACGGCTAAAAGAAACTGGAAGAGACCCAGCAGCGCTTCCGAGATGGACAGAAAAACTGGTGAAATCAGGTCAAGACATTATTTAGCAACAGGTAAGGAGAGAAATTTCAACATTTATTATTTTACAAATCGTAATATTCAGGAGGCAGCGATGGCGAAAGGGACCGAAGATATAAACCTGCTAGAAGATCAAGGAGTCGCGATTCGCAGTATTCGGAGACTTCCTACCGCCATAAAACTGACGCAGGTCCAGCACCTAGAGGCCCACACAGAAACAAACAGTATTGTAAGACATTCGAAAACGATTTTGCTGACGTAGCCCCTAAGAAACAAGTCGACGCGTCGAAATTAGACTATAATAGCAAAAAATGCGCCACATTAACAAGCAGAAAAAAAACAAAAGAGAGTCCCAAAGCAGACATGAATATTGTGGGCACGTTCCCGAGGAAATCCTCTTCCCGGTCTAAATCCTTATTTGAAAACGATTTCGTATCAACTGAAGAAAGCACCCCAAATTTACGTTCTGAAACGAGATTCAATTTTGAAAATGAATTTGAAACATCAGAGGCAGAATCGCCAACTGTGGTTAATAAGTCGGTAAAAGCGTTAAAACAACACAGTTTATTTGAAAAAACTAAACTAGACACTGAATTCAACAAAGACAATTATCGACCAAGGTCATTAAAAGAACTTAAGCTTTCACCCAGATTACAAAATAAATCAAAATCTTTATTCGAAGATGATTTTTCCCCCAGCGGAAAATCAGAACCACTACCTAAAGACAATAGCATATCAAGCATCAAAGAAGTTGATTCTAAAGCAAAAGAAGGATCTCTTAGCACAAATAATTTTGAAAATGCAACGAACTGTAGAAGAAAGAAACCTAATAAACATAGGCTTTCGAATAATATACAGTCAGACATTAATATTAAGAAATCCGAATCTGTAAATATTTTTGCTCGTGAAAGCGATCCATTTGATGATGACTTTTTTAGCGAAAATATGTCTAGTCATGAAAATACACAATACGCAGAGAATTCTCCGAAACCCAGCGATCTTAAATGGACCGAAGATTTTGAGGAATTTCCCGCTGAAGAAAAATAATGTAGCATTTGATTCGAAGGCGTCTTTTTTATAAATCTGTGCTGACGGCCTCATTCAAAATGCTTCTTTTATTGTCTAATTATTAATGTTATATTATTGTTAAGTAAAGTAATACTAGGAAAAAGGATGCTAAGTTGTATGTATTTATTTGTAATTTTACTAAGGAACTCATGTGATTCTAGCCATTCGTATTTTAAATATAATGAGAAACTTATTATTCGTATTTGAAAATGCATTATTAGTGGATCTGATATTTGTATATTTATAATTTTTATTTTCATTGTACTTTCTACCTCTGTTAAATATATTTAATTTATTGTTACGTGTATTTATTGATCATGGATTGAATCTTGCGTTTCAAAAAAGTATTTTTGGACATTGGACATTTTAGGTAGGATTTATTCGGCAAAATTTTCAGTCGACGTCATCATTTTTTTGGAGGGGATAAGCAAATATATTTTGATTAAAAATTTATTATGCCATGATAAGCATCAAAGCATTCGGCTTTGCAGATTCCAAATTAAATGTCAAAATGTAGTTTTCTAATTTTGATTTTTTTTCCAAAAATCTGGAAATCGATTTCGTGTTCTATTATTTTATTTTAAAATGAAAAATCCAAAAATTTCAAAATGAAAATCGAAAAACTAAAAATCGAGACACCGAAAAATGGAAAAATTTTAAAAACATGTAAAAATTGGAAAAACGAAAAAATAAAAAACCCTTTGCAATTTTTCAATTTTAAAGTTTTCAAGTTCTTGATTTTCAATTTTAATCAAAATGAAATTTGCAAAATAGAATAACTATGACACCGAAACATTAAATAATGAAACAATTAAAAATCGAGAAATTGAAAAATCGACAAACCGAAACAAATTTGCAATTTTTTGATATAAAATTTTTCAAATTCTCGGTTTTTCATTTTTTGTTGAACAAAAGGACAAATTTATTCAAACCGAAATTATGAAAAATTAAAAATCAGAAAATTGTAACATTGAAACGTCTGAAAATTATAAAAATTGTGAAGTTTAAGAATTGAAAAAATAAAAAAAAAAACTGAGAACCAAAAATTGAAAAACGAAAAAATGAGAAATTAAACAAATGGATAATTGAAAAATCGAGAAATTGTAATATAGAAACCTGAAAACCCTGATTCATTAAAAATCGAGAAATTGAAAAATTGAAAAAACGAAAAACAAAAATTTCTATAGGTAAATTAAATAAACAAAAATACAAAAAATTTTAAAATGAAACTTTAAATATCGAGAAACTGGAAAATCGAAAAATGGAAAAATTAAGAAATTGAATTGGATATTTGAAAAATCGAAAATTTGTAATATTGTAACCTCAAAACTCTGATTAATTAAAAATCGGGCAATTAAAAAATCGACAAAACGAAGCAATTCTGCAATTTTTCGATATAAAATTTTTCAAATTCTCGATTTTTATTTCTTCATTTTCTCGATTTGTCATTTTTTAATTGTTCAACAAAAGGACAAATTCATTCAAACCGAAATTTTGAATTGAATTGAAAAATGAAAAAATTGAGAAATCCAAGAATTGAAAAAATAAAGAAAACTTGAAAAAACCGAAAAAATGAGACTTTAAAACTGAAAAATGAAACTTGAAATATCGAAAAATTAAAAAATTAAAAAATCGAAAAATTAAAAAATTGAAAAATCGAAAAATTGTAATACAGAAACCTGAAAACCCTGATTAATTAAAAATCGAGAAAGTGAAAAATTGAAAAAACGAAAAACAAAAACTTCTATAAATTGAATAATTATAAATTAAAAAAAAAAAATAATTTCAAAATCCAAAAATTTTAAAATGAAAACTGAAAAACTAAAAAATTGAGAAATTGTAAAAAAGAAACATGGAAAAATTGAAAAATCGTAACATCGAAATGACGAAACATTGAAAAACCGAAAAATTTAAAAACCGAGAAACTGAAAAATCGAGTAATTGAAAAGCCAAGAATTGTACACTTAAAAAAAACCCTAATAAATAATTATTCGAAAAAAGTGAAAAATTAAAAACCGACAAATTTAAAAATGAAACAATTACAACATTGAAACCTGAAAAAGTGATAAATTAAAAATTGAAAATACGAAAAATTGTAAAAAGATGGAAAATCTAAAAATTAAAAAGCAACTTGGAAAATCGCAAAATTAAAATATCTGCAAATTAAAAAATCGAGACATGCAAAAATTTTACTAAAAAATAAAAATCATAATGAAAATCAGGAAACAAAAAAAATCGAGAAATGTAAAAACGAAACACGGAAAAATCGAAGAATTAACAATTAAAAAAACAAAAATTTAAAAATCTGGAATTGAGAAAATAAAAAATCGAAGACACGAAACAACTTGGAATTACATACTTGGAAGTACTTTATTTTTAATTTTTCATTTTCTCAATTTTTCGTTTTTTAATTTTTCAACAAAAGGACAAACTTATTAAAAGTGAAATTTTAAAAAATCAAAAAATCGGAAAATTGTAAAACTGAAAAATTGAAAAATCAAAAAATTAAAAACTGAAAAATCGAAAAAGAAACGTTGAAAAACTGAACAATTTAAAAATTGAGAAATCGAAGAACTGCAAAAATAAAGAAACTCAAAAAGAGGTCAACAATTGGAAGAGGAAAAATTGTAACCTTAAAAATGAAAAAACTGAAAATTTAAAAAACAGAAAAATCGAACAGTTGCGAAATTGAAAATCAAAAATAGAAAAAACGAAACTTGAAACAGCGAGAAATTTAAGAATTGTAATCTTAAAATTTGAGAAACTGAAAACTTCGATAACTGAAAAAACAACTGAAAATTTGAAAAATTGAAAAAACAAACAATGAAAATCGAAAAATTGATTAATTAAAAATCGAATAATAGAAAAATACGGAAAACAAAATTTTCAGGAAATAGAACAATTGACAAATTGTAAAATTTAAAAGCTGAAGAATCAAAAAATTAAAACATCTAGACACTAAAAAATCGAAAAATAGAAAAAATTTGAATTAAAAAATCCAAAAATGTCAAAATAAACATCGAAAAACTGTAAAATTAAAATATCGAAAACTGAAAAATTGAAAAAAAAACGAATCATTAAACAATAAAAAAACTGAAATAGCGAAATTAAAAAATCGGATAACGAAAAAATAAACAATCGAAAAATCAAAAAATAAAAATATCTTAAAATGAAAAAATCGAAAAAACGATAAATTGTCAAATCTAAAAACTATAACATTAAAACCTGAAAAACTGACGAAATAAAAATCGAGAAACTGAAAAATCGGCCGACATACTTTGTTGTGATTGGTCGGCACGGGTGCGGAAATTAATATACCCCTCTGAGAAAATAAAGGGTGAGTGGGCGGGGCTAGTACTTGCTTACATATACCTTATTTTGGCAAATGACATATACTATGAGAAAATAGGGGGCGGGTGGGCGGGGCTAGTACCCGGTAAGATAAGACTGCTTTTGGCAAATCACATATCCTCTGAGAAAATAGGGGCGGGTGGGTGGGGCTAATACTTGTTAGGATAAACCTGATTTTGCCCTTATTAATCTTGTACAAACTTGTGAAATTTAAATGTTTATCAACTCTTTCAATCAATTTTGATGACCCTGTATTTATTCGTACTTGTTTCATATTGCAGTCGTTTTTTTTTACTTCCCGAGCGTAAGCCAAGTCCATCGGCTGAATTACTACTTTAATATTTTCTTGACACGTCATTTTAATTAGACAAGTAATCTCCGAATCTACTGGACCGATTGTTTTTATAATTTTTCGAAAATTCTGTTTTTAATTTTTTCATTTTTCAAAATTCCGGTTTCATAATTTTTCGTTTTTGCAACTTTAACATCCGATCTATGGAAAGCGAATTAAAACTTAATCGCGATTAACTTTGATTGAAGTCCGTTGCTATGCAACGCGCATGTTTTAACCAATAACGGCTCATATTCCACATTTAATCTGCTTCCATAAACCGCCCTAATTTTTTCAATTTTTCAATTTCACGCTTGCAATTTTTCAGTTTATCATTTCTTGAATTTTTCGTTTTGAAATTTTTCAATTTTGCAATATTTCGATACTATAATTTTTAATTTTTCGCGTCTTCAGTTTCTCAATTTTTAATTTTTCGATTTTTCAGTTTTTTACAATTTTCAAGTTCTTTATTTTTATTTTTCATTTTCCCAATTTTTTAATTTTCATTTTCTTGATTTTACATTTTTTCGTTCGTTTATTCTCAATTATCGGATTTTCTGTTTTTTTAATTTTCAGTATTTTGAATTTACAATGCCCGTTTGTACCGTACTTTTAATCACCTGATTTAACATTATGATTTCTTTAATTTGACAGATTCTTTTCCTTTTTTTGTCATACGTGTAGCATTCTTTTCACAACAAGAAACTTAAGACATGTTGAAAATGAAAAATTCATCACAACTGAGATCGGGGCGGGTGGGCGGGACTTCTATTTTGCCCGTTTTCTTTTTTACGTAGTCGTTTTTTTCTTTAATCTTATTTTCTAGAGAAATTTTGATGTTACAATTATTAAACTCCACTCCTCGGTTAATGTTTGTTTTCTTTTTAATATAGAGTTTTATTATTTTAATAACAGGATGATAGTTAACATGTTTTCAGTTTCTTGTTTCCAAAAGAAGACTTCGTATATTAAGAAAAAATGGACAAAATATAAGCCCCGCCCACCCACCCCTTCTCAATTGTGATGAATTTTTTATTCATCGTCAGCTCATTTCTCTACAAGAAATTACCATATGAAATATCTTTTTAAAAGGGTATAATAATAGATAAATTTTGATGTTACAATTAAACCCCGACCCTCGGTCTGATTACGAATGAAAAAATCATCACAACTGAGATATGGTGGGTGGGCGAGGCTTATATTTGCCCTTTTTCATAATATACGTAGTCGTCTTTTCTTGTTTAATTTTTGTTTTTTTTTTTTTTAATATAGAGTTTTATTTCAATAACAGAGGATGATAGTTAATATGTTTTCAGTTTCTTGTTGTCAAAAAAGGTCGTATATTAACAACAAATAGGAAAAATATAAGCCCCGCCCACCCGCCCATTCTCAATTGTGATGATTTTTTTATTCATCGTGAGTTCATTCCTCTAGAAGAAATTATCATATGGAGTATCTTTTTAAAAGGGTATAATTTCTCTAGATAAATTTTGATGTTACAATTAAACCCCGTCCCTCGGTCTGATTAGGAATGAAAAAATCAACACAATTGCGATAGGGTGGGTGGGCGGGGCTTATATTTTGCCCTCTTTCCATATGTATGTAAATAGCCGTCTTTT